CTCACACTCTGTCTTTCTCTCTCAAAAATAAACAAACATTAAAAATTTAAAAAAAAATAAATAATAGTAAATTAAATGTATTTTGAGAAAACAAAAATAATTGGATGCATTTTGCGTTGTCAATAGGGTTGACGCTCAGCGGTTTAAAATACTAAATACTGCATTCCTATTTCAACCATCATATTGTCTTTAGTTTTTTTCTTCCTCCTCTTGTATTTTTTCTACCATTTTAATTTTCGTTTAGTTTTGCCACGCAATCTCTGTGGTTTTTGAAATATCTAAAAGTATTTGTGTTATCAGCTTGTGATCGGTGTCTAGAATTCTTAAGAGAAAATTGCCAAATGAATTTGACCAACAAAGGGAAAAAATGACAATACACTTATATTGAGCAATTCTTGTGGAAATGGTGAAAAATAGTTGGAGTAGGACCTATTTAGAGATAGCTCACTGGCATTTCTTTGAAAATAATATTTCTTTCCTCCTGACTGTAGTATGTTGATAGGGTTTCAGGTAGAGTTTTCTCTCTTCCCCTGTAAGTTTTGTGGTTTGACTCAGCCCTGTGCCACCAGAGTGTCATCTGCTTCCTACATGGGGGATATGTGATCTGTCCCTGCCAGGAAGTGGCCTCTGGTGGCCTCACCTGTGGTGTATTCCTACTGTCCACTCTGCTTTATGCAGGTTAGTCATAGCTGCATAGTGTGTGTGTGTGTGTGTGTTAATGACAAAAAAAGAACCAGATAAGAATTTCAACATCTGTGATGCTCTCTGCACAGGATTTATGAGAGTTTTCTGTGTCCTGTGGGTACGTTGGGATTGAATGTGAAGGAAGAGGAGGAAGACATTTACGACTACCAAGAAAGACTTTCTCCTAAGAGTAAGGCAATGACTTACTCTTTGTAAGAGTAAGGCAAACTCAGAGAATTTAATATTTCTAAATGCAGCAGGTAAAACAATAATCATCCTGTCCTTAGTTTGATTTCATGTTAGGGGAAATTTTAGAGGAAGTTCTGTTCAAAAATATGAATAGCTCATGGGGCGCCTGGGTGGCTCAGTTGGTCATGACTTCGGCTCAGGTCATGATCTCGCTACTAATGAGATCAAGCCCCGCGTCGGGCTCTGTGCCGGCCTCTCTGAGCCTGGAGCCTGCTTCCGATTCTGCGTCTCCCTCTCTCTCTGCCCCTCCCCCACTCTCACTCTGTTTCTGTCTCTCAAAAATAAATGAATGTTAAAAATTGTAAAAAAATATGAATCGTTCAATTTTGAGTGAAAAACATGCATCAGGGATTTTACTTTTGTATTTCTTTCACTGTCACACATTTAACATAAATATGGTTTGTAAAGAAATCTAGTATTTCATCTGTCATTAAATGGCCTAACAGTTTTGTGTCAGATGATTTAAAGTTATTTGGGAAAAATTAAATGTGATAACTTGAAATGTATACCCAGCTACAGTAAGCCTAAGCATAATTTCGCATATATATTTTACAACGTTAAGATTTATTTACAAAACTTCTTTGTTGTACAGAAAGTACAAGTGCTATTAGAATTCTAGTGTAGCTGTAACCACAGGCAGCCGACGAACTGGTCAGAGATGTTCATGCTGGTATGAGAATGTCACGTGGAAACATAACAACACTTAACGATTTTGTTGAGTAAAGGCCCCGAGCTTGATGTGTGGGTTTACAGGAAGGACTAAACGGATGAAGGTAGGATGTCACAGGAACTATTCTTGGTCTCATTGGGTGTATGGGTCTTTTAGGGTTTGTGTTACAGCTACCTTTATTTTTAAATATTTACAGAAGCGATACGAGTAGTCCATCCAGCCAATACTGAACAGTATTTTTGCAGATTTTTTTGGATCTTAATCATTTTCTCCTTTATTATGTTTATATATAATGTGTGTGTGTGTGTGTGTGTGTGTGTGTGTGTGTGTGAGAGAGAGAGAGAGAGAGAGAGAGAGAGAGAGAGAGAGAGACAGTGAGTTATGGCTTACAGTTAATGTAATTACATGTTCACACTTATCATGTATGGGTTTATGTATAGTACACACACACACATACACACACACACGGATATTTGGAAGAAAATTAGAGGAAAGTTTTAGAACTCACCTTATCTCAATCCTACCTGGTTCTGTGATAAATGGCTTAATGAAAGGTTGATTAAGCCATCCCTGTAAGTACTGAACTACTTTTCTTTTGAACAGAGTTCTCATATATTTATGTTATGAGAGGGATTTCCAAATTCTTGTGTGTAAATGGTGTATTTTTGAGAAATGTATCAAAAACAAATGTAAGAAGGAAAACAGAAACTTCAGTATTGCAAGAAGGAAAAAGGCAACATATATTTTAAGGACAAAGACCTTAAAATACAATGATATTTGATGGTAGCTCATGTATTTATTATCACTAATTCCTATTTTTTTTTTTTTTGGAAAAAACTTATCACTATCTTACATTGTCCCTGTTATTTTGGGGAATAGTATCCTACCCAATTTCAGTCATGTGTGAAATCTCAACATCCTGGTGCCCACTAGCTTAGAGGAAAAAGCAGACTTGTGAAATAGACCTGAATTTAAATTCCATATCTTTATCAGCTGCCTGATTTAATCTCTCCGAATTCCAACATTGTTATCTATAAAATATCCTGAGTATTTTTCCAGAGTGCCATTAACAATTATGTAGCGGTCCTGGTAGCAGTCTTAGCATAATAAGTGGCTCAGCTCATTACATATTCCTTCTTTTTCCCTTTTTTATGGACAGCTATGACCTTCACATGTATGCACTGATTTATCTGTGATCATAGGTGGCACAGATTTTTTTGATTTGCACCTGACAGAACGTTTCATGCCTCGCATTCTAACTGTCATTGGAAGGTAGAGATATCTCTTCTTCCTGCTAGATTGACCTGGAGGTAATCTTGGAGTCCCTTTCCAAAGCTTGTCCCATTTTTCCACCTCAGATTTATATATTGTTTTCATGTCACTTATCTATTGTGGCAGAGGAGCAATAAATTAATCCATTTAGGACGTTTAAGATCTTACAGCTTTACCTGTCAGTGGTTCAGACAAATACTTTCTTTAATTCTAGCTTCTGAGGGAGGTCACTGTAACACGAGTGTAGATTGTGGCACTACACTTTTTCTGAGATGCTTGAGGTCTCCTTGGGACATCTTTTGGTGAAAAGGAAAATACAGTTAAAATGAATGAATAAATGCATGCATACGAAATAAATGGGGAATTTTGCTGTCTTAACATTTTATTTCAGTCTTGCTTTATTGAAAAGCCTGTGGATGGTTTTTAATAGCTTTAGAAACTGTAAAATAAAACAACATTGATTCAAAGTAAAGCTGTGCTTGGTAATTTTCTCAGTACATCAGATATTTTTATATAGAAAAATGGAAATGAAATGAAAACCTACAGGACATATAGGCAAATACATGCAGTGATTAGAGGGGAGTTAAATGAAAATGATGAACCCCTTCATCAGATATCTTAGTGGTAGCCTAGCTCAGCTTAATCTCTTTTCATCTCCCTGTTTTTTGCTTGGAAAATAGTTTGAGGATGTAGATTACTGTCCTCTCTTCATTAGTCAAACTTTTAATAGGGTCCTAAGACTCCTGGGTATAATTAGATTAAATGACAGAAGAAACCCTCAGGGATAAAGTTTACACCAGGGACAAACTTTACATCTAATGTAAAGTTTACACTAGAACTTTAATTATTTTTTTTCTTTCTTAATGCTGCTGGGTTTCTTGATTAGAACAGCAGGGGTTCCCATGAAGAATGTTTGAAAGTTTATTAGTATAAATCATATTCTACATTTAGATTGCTTGAAACATTTGTTTCAAAAACAAAATAATGAATATGTATTCCTCTTAGCTTGTAGCTACAACGTTACCTATTTCTAAATTTTTCACTGCCTATTAATGAACAGATATTTACTAGACACCCATTCTGGGTAAGGTCCTATGCCACATCCTAGGGAAATATACACAAAAATTAATAAGTAAGAGAAATTCCTTTTAATTAATGAGGTTTTTGCTCTAATATAGACAGCTGGACATTAACATGTGATCACAGAAAAGTTTAAAGAGAAGCTTTATGTAACAACATCAGCAGTTTCATCATAGACGATGCGTTTAGTACCTTAAATACAATGTGACATTGTGTCATTGTAAGAACATGCAGCTTACTGCTTACTTCTTCAACTTCTCTACCAGTTGCAAGCATGATATGTGCCTTTTCATGAGTTGCAGTAATCAGACAATTTCATTCAAATGACACACTGTCTCATTCAGTAATATTTGGGGCAGCATTAGATTTTCATCTAGGAGATAAAATTGCAGGTCGAGGTGATGCAGGAAAGCCTGTCCTGGAAAAATACTCTATCATGTTTTCTTAGAAGACTTTGATGGTTGCATTTGTACTGTTTTGAATAAACCTAGAATTATTTCTCTTGGATATTTGAATATATTTGTTCTCAGTCTGGGCCCGTGCCTCCTGAGAGCCCGTAGCGAATTACTTCCTCACGGAACATGGCCCCTGGATATTATGAGATACAAGGATGCTCTCCTTCCCTTCTCCTTGCCATTGTCTATTGCCAGCCCAGCCCTGGCTTCTCTCATCCCATCAGTTTTCATTCGGTTCCTCCATTTGCTTCAGGCCCATCTCATTTTAATGATGGCAAAAGACAGAGGCATCGTATTTTATGAAGCTGGAATCCAATCTCTTCACTCTGCAGCTTGCTTCTTGAAACTTTTAATAGACTCATTGCATTATATTTTTAGAGTCATCGAAATTCAGTCTGTTAAAAGTTAGCCTAAAAATTAAAAATGCATATGCATTTATTTTTTAAAAAGTGAAGCTCGGAGAAGGTGATCTACCCCAACTCACAGACTGGCCCTGCATTAAAGAATTAAATTAGATTATGATCTAAAAGCTGCCTCAGCTCACCATCTCTTTGTACTGTAATGTATGCTCATTTAGCAGCTCGGTTAAGAAGGTCAGTTGTACCAGTTCATCTGTGGGGTGTGAATCCCAGAGGTACTACTTCCTAGTTGTGTAATCTTGGGTGGGTGGTTAACCTTTCCATGCCTCAGTTTCCTGTTCTGTAGAATGTTAGTACGTAACTCACAGAGTTGTAAGGATTTAATAAGTTAGTGTCTGTGAATCATCTTCCACGGTAACTGGGCCATTTTGGCACTCGGTATGTGTTTGCTCTTACGGGGCAACATATGAAATAAAACATCTTCAGTTACTGGAGATAGGGTTGAAGAAAAAAGTTAAGTTGTATAGTACGGAAGCTCTGAATAACTTCAGTTTTTTAAAGGGAGATAACTTCTGAAAATTGAGAGAGGCGAAAGTGAGCTTTTGGAAAATAGAATATTATTTAACGGTTGCTATCCAGAAACATTATTGAACACGAACTTGCATGTAATACTTCTAGATGTATGGTATTACAACAGAAAAATTTCAGGTTTTTTTGGAGGCATCTTATTAAATCATTTCTTCTAGGTGCTGCCTAAAGGTGGTTTATGTATGCTTTTGAAATATTTAATCAACTTAATAATTTAGACAAAAATATTAGGGCATACAGTACTCTTGAAATAATTACTTCGTAGAAGTTCAAGAAATGATGTAGATGATGGTGATGATGATAATGATGATATGGATGTAAATATCGTTATTATTTCCACTTACATTAAGAAGAAGTAAAGGATTTCTCATGTTTCTAGTTGAGTGACTGTGGGTGGCTCTGATTAAAGCTATCTAGTGATTTCTTCAAAACCCCTTGGTTAATGTTCATGGTGGGATAGTTTTTGAAGGAAACATATCAAAATGAATAGGAAGGGAAACAGTATCTTATCAAAAGAAGGAAGAAAGGGAGGAAAGAGGGAAGAGAAAAGCTTTCTGTGGCCTGGATGAGGATGGGGTGATTTAGTTAGATCTGTAAATACATAATGATACTTACTGTTTAAGTACAGTAGTTCCACCATGAAGTGTTCAAATAAAACTGGGAAATGTATTGACCTGGAAGGTTTAGACAGTGAGTTCCCTCCTGAGCTGGAAGGTGGGGCAGAGGCCAGCTGTGGTCCTGTGGACCGGTCCCAGGGCATGGATTGTGCACCAGCCAGGAGGATGAGACCGATCCTGGATATCAGGCATTTCTCAGGTTACTGTTTCTTTCTTTCTTTCTTTCTTTCTTTCTTTCTTTCTTTCTTTCTTTCTTTCTTTCTTTCTTTCTTTCCTTCTTTCTTTCCTTCCTTCCTTCCTTCCTTCCTTCCTTCCTTCCTTCCTTCCTTCCTTCCTTCCTTCCTTCCTTCCTTCTTTCTTTCTTTCTTTCTTTCTTTCTTTCTTTCTTTCTTTCTTTCTTTCTTTCTTTCTTTCTTTCCAACGCTTATTTATTTTTGAGAGACAGAGTGTGAGTGGGTAGGAGCAGAGAGAGAGGCAGACACGGAATCCGAAGCAGACTCTAGGCTCTGAGCAGTCAGCACAGAGCCCAACGCGGGGGTCGAAATCACGAACCTCGAGATCATGACCTGAGCTGAAGTCGGACGCTTACCGACTGAGCCACCCAGGCGCCCCTCAGGTTAGCGTTTCTAATTTTAAAATCAATTGCGGTAGTTGATTCAAGTGTGATTTTGTCATTTTCTCAAAATCACATAGTTTTAGCCTGCATTTGAGACTAGATCCTCGTCTGATAGATATGACAAGATATACCCTTGTGCTGATATGACATACAGACTTGCCAAATCACTATGTTGTGCACCTGAAAATAATGTACAGCTGACATTGTGTGTCAGCTGTACATCAGTTAAAATAAATAAATCAGAATTTTTAAAAGGCTAGAATCCTATCTTTTCAAGGAGGAGCAAATAGAAAACATGAATGTAGGGGGTTCAGGTCTGTGCAGGGCTTTGATACCAGAGGAATAGGAACTCTGAAAGACATATTTTTATATCATTTTCTTACAGGGTCAGGAGAGATGCTAATAAGAGTGGAAACACCTAGTGGTCAGAAATGGCAGGTGCTCACTGTGGGCCAATACGGGGTAGTGTGCAGTAAAGAGATGATTGTGCACACGCTTCAAGCAAGACAACCGCAGAATGACAACTGCAGGATTAATCATAAAATCATCCCCCCACAGTTATTTCTTTTAATGTGAATACACATTAGGGATTTCTGTTTGCATCTGACATGCCTTGGGATATATTCCTGTCCTTCTTGTTTTTAGTTCTGTCTTTCCATCTGGCTTCACAGCAGACACAGGTATTCGTTTTAACAAGCAATCCTAGTCTGTGTTGACCTCACTTAAAATACGGTGCAGATTCTGAACCACCCAAAGGGAAACATCTGAGAGTTTGGGGTCGGGTGACAAGAATAGTAAGCAGCTCATAGAAGAGCACAGGAAACAAAACAAAACAAATCACGTTTTATGAACAAATAAAATAGCTGTGAGTTTAGAATGCCCAGTTTATGACAATGAGGAAAGACATTGTCAACAATGGCTCATGTCTGTGAAGAAAGAATTAATTTAGACTCTGTGCTGATGAGTAGTTGGGGGATAGAGGTGATGTTATGTTAAAACTGTAGTTTCAGTAAAGGAAAATACTATGGAGAAAAGCTCATGTATCTTGTGTTGGGTGAGTTGACTTTAGCTACTGTAAGAGTGAGAAATGGCATTTCGACTACAAAGTTAGAGACTCAAACCCGAAGCTTAAGTAAGAGAAAGCATTAAAATATACACATGTGGGGTTGCCAATATCAGCTTCCCTCGCCACTTCTTCTCTCCAGGCAAAACAGGAAGGAAGGAAGAGGGGTGTTCCTTTCACATGCTGGTGGGCCTGTAGCCTATGTGGATGGGAGGAGTTGCTCATTGGTCAGGAAAATGCAGGAAAGAGTAGATATGCAAATGATGCTGGTATTTGCATATTTTCTCCTCTGGTTTTTTAAGTGGAGGAAATCAGGAGCTTCTCCAAAACTAAAGACAGAAATACTTCCAAAGTATTTTTGAAAGGGTCCTTTGAGCAACAGCAGTACCGATTAAGCGCATTGAAAGTGTTTAATGGCATTGGCAAAATTTGAATAATGTGTTGTGTCTCAGCAAATATACTGGCAATCATATGAAAGGAAAGTGTGTGAAATTTCATTTATATGATATAGGAATACAACTGTGTTAGGAAATTAGAGTATAAAAGGCATTCATCAGTTTCATATTTTGATGTTTTAAAGTTCAAAATTCATGAAATGAATGCATCCATCAGGCATCTTAAAAGCCTCAGGAAAGATTGGTGATAAAGAGCAATCAATTGAAATGGGGTGTAGCTATTTTTAGCATACATTTTTTACACCTAGAACATGTAGACGAATTCAGGTGTTTTCCATTTATCTAACGCTATAGGAGGGCATAATGTTGCAAATCGAAGGACAATGTTGTAATTCCAAATATCTGATTTATGCACTGAGACTCTTCTGCACAATCCACCTGGTAAACAGTGGGTGGTCTGGGGAGTTTTAACGTCACTGCTTTTAAAGATGACAGTTCATAATATTGGGGGGTGTTCCTGAATAAAGCAGGGATAGACACTACCTTGATGTGAAGTATTAAGGAAAATTGTCTAAATTTTGGAAATAAGACCAAAGAAAGTACATGTTCTTTCATTGTCCCCTTGGGGCATATTTTAATAGGCCTACCTAAATATTATTTAATTCTTTGGGGTAATTTATTGGCTTTCACTTTGTTTTCTGCTAAATGATCATGCCCTAGAAATTATAACGTTAGATGTTAGCTTGTAGATCTCCCTCTGGTAGAAAAGTTGATCCCGAAGGTTATGATTTGGGCTCCCTATAGTTCACTATCCAGTTCTGTTTGTAACCTGGGGATCTTACTCTAATATATATATTTCAAATGCCTATAAATACCGAGTTCCTCAAATGTGATTAGACAGGTCTTTACCATCTTCCTGTTTCTGTCATTAACGACATCATAAATATGTGACATTTGTGTTTTCTACATGTAAGTGGGAATTGTGTTTTTAGTTTTTGAAAATCTACCTTGATCGGGATTCATTTGGCTCGTGACAGAGAAAGGAGAGGCTTAGGAATTGATAAATTAATGTCCCGAGAAACCATGAAGAAATGTCGACTTTCCAAAATGGTGGTTGGTTCCATTTTGCTGAAGCCTCGGGAGATTAATCGTGAGCAAACAAGTTGAGTGATGCCAGGGACATGTGAACTGCAATTCTGCTAACGGGGACAGCAGCGGTGATGGGTGCCGGGAGGGCGTTTACACCAGGGGCGCTTCACCTGCTGGCAGAGTCCTGGAATTCTACAGTCCCACCTACGCCTCCTTCATTTTTGTGTCGACCCGGCATGAGCGACAGCATCCGGCTGTTCTCTTCGCCAGCAGAGCGGCCCAGCAGAGGGGGAGGCATCGATGGACACACGAAGCTGCCTCAGCGAACCCACATGGGCTGCGACTCTTAAGATCGGAACTCTGTTTTTGAATTTTGCCTTAAGATACTAGGAAACCAGCTCCACTAAAATACCGATCTCCTACTTCAATGAAGAGAGCAACTCTTTTGTTTTCTTTGGCTTTGAATCGGCAGCATCGATTACAGAAGTCGCTCAGAGAATACTTGGTGACGGAATGCACAGGTGAACGTTCTGCGGGAAGTTGGACCCGATGGGGCCTCTGAGCGCGGCCGCCCCTAATCACCGAGCAGGGCAGGGGCCGCGCGCTAATTTGATCGAGGACTCAGCTGCAGAAAAAGTGCCAGAGATTTTGCCGTTGGTAGATTTCAGTTCAAATCCAGTTCTGCCTTTCCCTGGCTGGGTCAACGTGAGCAGCCGCGGTAACCCGTCTAAGACTGTTTCCTGATCGCAGCGAATGGAAGAGCTGCCGTGTCCGGTTGAGATGTGCTATGTGTCTCACAGTCCTTGAATCGCATAGTAGCCGCTCTGTGAGTTCTCCCTTCATCAAACTGCTGTCGGATAAATTTGAAAATTATAAATAGCTACCCACAACTGTTATTCGCGCTCTTCTAGATATTTCATCATTCATTAAATTTTATTATATACCCTTGCTAAAGTTCCAACTGCAATAGCGTAGGTCTTTAATTTTATCAAAAATAGTATGTGCTTATTGCCTTCTTAATATTCACTATCTCCAATAATTTTCCTGTTAGTTTTCCTTTCCAGATGTAACCATTTCTTTCTGTCATGATGCTCATCATTTTAAGGGGTCTCTTACACAGAGCTCACTATAAACATTTTATGAACTGCTATCACTTACTCTATTAATTAACATACATAAGATCAATCAGGTGGTGTCATATTTTACAAAATAATGCTTTGTGTTAGTAGTTTCTCATTTACATGGATGTGAGAATGATCTGGCAGTCTGGGTATAACATCTGTTACTCAATTACTGGCCAGAATAATTCTATAGATTTCAGTGACGTTAATCACTACCATAGGTGTGTCTGTCCTTTCTTACCAGAGGAGGATCTTTTATTAAGTTTATATGTGTGTATATATATATATATATATATATATATATATATATATATATAAAAGTTTATATATATATACACACATAAATATATAAAATATAAACTAAATATATATTTTATATTTTTGTACATAAAAATATATATATAATAAATATATAAAAATATAAATACATATTTTTTTGAGGGGGGGGAGATCATGAGCTGGGGAGGGGCAGAGAGAGAGGGAAATTGAGAGTCCCAAGCAGGTTCTGCATTGTCAGCACAGAGCCCAACACGGGTCTTGATCCCACAAACCCTGAGATCATGACCTGAGCCAAACTCAGCTGACAGATGCATAACCAACTGAGCCACCCAGGTGCCCCCAGAGGACAATCTTCTTTTTTTTCCTACTTTAATTTTAATTATTTTATTTTTATTTCTTTAAATTTAAATCCAGGTTATTAACATATAGTGTAATAATGACTTCAGGAATAGAATGTAGTGATTCATCACTTACATATAACATCCAGTGCTCATCCCAAAGGTGCCCTCCTAATGCCCCTCACTCATTTAACCCATCCCCCCACCACCTCCCCTCCAGCAATCTTCAGTTTGTTCTCTGTATTTAAGAGTCTCTTCTGGCTTGTCTCCCTCTATTTTTATTTTATTTTTGCCTCCCTTCCCCTATGTTCCTCTGTTTTATATCTTAAATTCCACATAGGAGTCAAGTCATATGATATTTGTCTTTCTCTGACTGACTTATTTCACTTAGCATAATACCTTCTAGTTCCATCCATGTTGTTACAAATAGCAAGATTTCATTCTTTTTGATCACTGAATAGTATTCCATTGCATATATCAGCCACATCTTATTTATCCAGTCATCAGTTGATGGACATCTGGGCTCTTTCCATACTTTGGCTGTTGTTGATAGTGCTAACATTGGGGTGCATGTGCCCCTTCAAAACAGCACTCCTGTATCCTTTGGGAAAATACCTAGTAGTGCAATTGCTGGGTCGTAGGGTAGCTCTATTTTTAATTTTTTGAGGAACCTCCATACTGTTTTCCAGAGCAGTTGCACTAGTTTGCATTCCCACCAGCAGTGCAAAAGGGTTCCCTTATCTCTGCATTCTCGCCAGCCTCTGTTGTTGCCTGAGTTGTTAATTTTGGTCATTTGACAGGTGTGAGGTGGTATTTCATCATGGTTTTGATTTGTATTTCCCTGATGATGAGTGATGCTGAGCATCTTTTCATGTGTCTGTTTGCCATCTGGATGTCTTCTTTGGAGAAGTGTCTATTCATGTCTTTTGCCCATGTCTTCACTGGATTATTTGTTTTTTGGGTGTTGAGTTTGACAAGTTGTTTGTAGATTTTGGATACTAACCCTTTATCTGATATGTCGTTTGCAAATATCTTCTCCCATTTCGTTGGTTGCCTTTTAGTTTTGCTGATTGTTTCCTTCACTCTGCACAAGCTTTTATCTTGATGAGGTCCCAGTAGTTCATTTTTACTTTTGTTTCCCTTGCCTCCGGAGACGTGTCAAGTAAGAAGTTGCTGTGGCCGAGGTAAAAAAAAAAAATTGTTGCCTATGTTCTCCTCTAAAATTCCGATGGTTTCCTGTCTCAACCTTAGGTCTTTCATCCATTTTTAGTTTATTTTTGTGTCGGTTGTAAAAAAGTGGTCCAGGTTCATTCTTCTGCATGTCGCTGTCCGGTTTTCCCAACACTGATTGCTGAAGAGACTGTCTTTATTCCATTGGATATTCTTTCCTGTTTTTTGAAGATTAGTTGGTCATACGTTTGTGGGTCCATTTCTGGTTTCTCTGTTCTGTTCCACAGATATATGTGTTTGTTTTTGTGCCAGTACCATACTGTCTTGATGCTGACAGCTTTGTAATATAGCTTGAAGTCTGGGATTGTGATGCCTGTAGCTTTGGTTTTGTTTCTCAGGATTGTTTTGGGTATTGGGGGTCTCTTCTGGTTCCATAGAGATTTTAAGTTTGTTTGTTTTAGGTCTGTGAAGAATGCTGATGTTATTTTGACTGGGATCACCAGAGGAGGATATTCTTAATGAGAGATATTTAAAAATTTGAGTTGAGTTGTAAGAAATGAAGGTTAGTCATACTGCTAATAGGAAAACATTTTTTTTTTGAGTTCAGAATTCATTTCTAGTATAGAATCTCTTGGGGCTCTGTTCCCAGATATTAGGATTTATGTTTCCGACATGGGCCCCACACATTGGTAAATAGTTTTGGGCTTATTGAATAGCCATGAGTAATTGCTACGTAGCTCTCAACCTGCTCATCTTTTTTAGAGAGATGACATGTTTCAAAAAAACCCAGAAAACAAAACCAAACCAAAAAAAACTGCTCCCTGGCCAATAACCCAAGTAAGCCGATTTGAGGTAAGGAAGATAACATTTGGTTCTAATGTATCTCCTGCCTGTTCTGTTTTTTTCTACTTGTGCACCAGTGGAGTTTAATGCTAACACCATGAGGGTAAAAACCAAATGCATACATTGAAAGTAAACTCATCCATGTGTTTCTTATCTTACCTAGATTTGTGACAGAATTTTAACTTAGTAGGTTAAAAATGGCTGATGCTGTTCAACTACTGGCTGTTAGACACACACTGCTATTGAGACCCAGTACCAAATCGTCTGCCTTTATTTCCCCCTTTAAAAGGGAAAAATGCCCTGCTTTGGAGAATTTGATTTCATGATGCAAATGCTCCGGTATGGCTGAAAACTAGCTACCTCCCACATGACATCAGTGAACATGTAGTTGGGCAAAGCTGTGTCCAGACTGTTGGGGACGGTACGACCCCACAGCCCCAGCATACTACTTGTAATGGAAAATTGTCAGGGCAAAGAAACATGCTGTTTACTTCGTCCTCGCCTGGAATTGAATTAAATATATTTGGCTAGCTTAAATTGATTGATTTTCCAAAGATCAACTACAAAGGAAATTTGGATGAGATTCAGGCCACCACAAAGCTGAAAATTAAACCAAAGGAAACATACACTATCTCATTCATCGTAGGGAAAAGTATCCTTCCTTCCTACATTTTGCTGTATTGATTCAAAGCCCTGTGTTGATGATTTTTTATTATAGTATCATGATTTAAGGCAAAGACAAAAATGCATAGTTATTCATTTGTAGATGTCTGATCATGTAGAGAACATAGCCCCACAAAGCAAAACTGTTAATAGCTGCAAAGTCAAGGTGGATTCCCACTCAGTATTTGGTTCTGACGTCATTAGTGATGGACACACACACACACACACACACAGCAGAGTGTAGCGGGGCTCTCAGTCTGGTCCAGAATGGCCTGCAGTACCTTAAAAGAACCAGGAAAGAAAGCTGCTTGGGTTTTGTTTTGTCGTCGTATTTCTGTGTCCGTGGGCCGGCTGGGAGAATAGGGCTGGTTTCCTGGCACATGGTCTCCAGTTCTGCCAGGGCCAAATCAGGGGGCCTTTTATCCGCTTCCCCAGCTCTGGGGCAGAAGGTGAAGAAGGCTTAGGTTGAAACGATGCTGACAATCAAGCATCAGAAACATGGAGCCATACTCTTTGTTATAAAACAGACAGATACAATCTCGTTATGTATCACAAACACATAAGGGAGCAATGTGGCTTGGATTGAAAGAGTTGAAAAATCATGGGACATGCTCATTTTAATAAATTTTAATAAAGGTGACTTCACCTGCTCAGAGTCCCTTGAGGTCACAGGGAAGTGACCAGTTGGCTGCTTTTTAATCTTCACGGTGACTGTGTCGAGGAACCTGCTTTAAAAGGAAGACATGCTTTGAAATACTCAATAATACTTTTTGACAGTTTTAGAGTTGAATCATTCACACTTACCAGTCATATAAATAAATCCACAAGAGACATTAACGTCCGTCAATGAACAAAAACCCAGATCCCTTTACTTACGAATACTGTACTCCCAGAACTCTTTTAGGGTCTGTGATTATTAAAAAAAGCCTAGGGGTTACAGGTGGATAAGATGAACCTTGCTAGTGAGGAGCCCTTAGTCACATGTGTCAGTCACCACAGAACAGCAGACCTTGCAAGATCACTCTCAGCAGATGTGATCCTAAAAAGAAAGGATAAAACCCAAATGCATCTATCGAGGTAAAATTTGTCACTACATCTCTTACATGGATTTGTGAGTAAATTGTCATTTAATAAAATAGCTGAAGCACTCCAGTGAGCTGCCCATTGAGACCAGTGTCAATGTTTTCTCTCTCCTCCATCCTCAAAAATACGCTATTAACTCCTGTGTGTTAAGCACTCAGAAGAGTGTTTTGCTTGCCTAAAGAGAAAATTGTCTATCTCCTTGTCAGAAGAGAAAAGCATCTATTATTCGAATATCAAACGTTCTATTTGTTGTTTTCCCCCATGGAAGGCTGCAATTTCAAAAATACATTCACACTACTTGAAGACAGGATTGTTAGAGTGACAAAGCACTGAATTCAAGTCATATGTCAAAGCCAGATTTTTCTGCTGTCGTCTCCTCTTTCTCTTAATAAATTGGATTTAAAAAAATAAAGCAGACCACATGCAGATATGTCCAGAATTTTATGTTGTTAACGGATGAATCGTATCCTTCAAAAATTCATATTCACCCTGATCCCCAGTACCTCAGACCTTATTTGGAAATAGGATTGTTGCAGATGCAGTTGGTTCAGATGAGGTCTTCCTGGTGTGGGGAAGGCTCCAGACTCAAATGCCTGGTGTTCTCACACAAAGGGGAACCAGACCCATACACAGGAAAATGCCACGTGTAGATCAAGGCAGAGATCTGTGTGGTGCCTCATCTACGAGACAAGGAACACCAAAGACTGCCAGCAGGGCACCGGAAGCTAGTCCACCACAGATCTCAGAAGGAGCCAGCCCCAACATCTGATCGCGGACTCTAGACCCCAGAGCTGCAGGGAAGCCAGGTGGGTCTTCAACCACCTGGTCTGTGCGCTTTGTGATTTCAGCCCTGGAAAGCTCATACACCTGTACACCACCCACAGATGCCGTCTTTAAAATCCATCCATCCCATCTCCGATGGCCTGATGCTGCAATTTGTAACTTAAAAAAAGTTGCCGTCTAGCTCAACCACACTTTGACGCCACCAAAGTGAAAATAGATCAAGACCAAACCATATATACATATGAAAATACATATAGTAATATAAATGGTGCTTGTGGGTGAGGGGATAGCCTTCTTTTTTGTATAAAATAAAACTAGAGAGATAATGTGCAGACGATTGTGAAAAATGTGTCCTGCTACCCCCTGACGCTACCTATGGAAATACAGCCTAGGAATCACTACTGAAGATTTTTAGCAATACCCAGTGCCTTTGAATTAGATGACTTCTGTCGCCTAACACCTAATTTGAGAAGTTCATAGTCCTTTGTTTTTAATTCTACGAGTATACTATATGAATCTCTTTAATTAGAAAATTGTAAGTTTGAGACGCTCTAGTGACAAGTCTTAATGACACAATCAGGAGTATAGATTACAAACGTGATTATGTTGGTTGAGTGTGTTGGCCTGTCAAAGACCCTGAATCAATATTAACAGAGTGGTGGAAAGATAGGTTTCAGGACAGGATGGAAAAACACTGCTAAATGGAGAGCACTTCTGTGTAAGAGCAATTTTGTATTTTAGAGAGAGCCCCACAATAAGGTGCCATGCTAAGGAGAAAATATTGACAGGGGACCTTGTCGGATATTAAGGAAGCAAAGGCAAATGTTAATTATCATATTCCAAGGCCAGTCACACTGTATATACCAGGTGGAGATAAACGGCTGCGGAAGTATTTGGTTAAAGGCGCTAGTGATTATTTTGAGGTTTGTCATCCATGAAATCCACAAAGATTTATTGAGCACATCCTGTTTCCTAGACATTAGAAACACACAGATAAATGTGTCTTAAATTTCCTAATAATGCTGATTTTGAGAGCACTAAATGACTAGATTATAATTATATTATCTTTTAGAAGTCAATGCGTAGGAAGATGAAGCAGCTAATTTGTTAGAGAACAGCCATAGTCTTGCCTATGAGTAGCACAAACATATTCCAGCTCAGAAGCATTTATTATCACCTGGTAGTATTGAAGGACACTGAGTACATAAAAATGTAGGAAATAATTTTAAACGAATTGCACACGAAATTAGGTTGACTGTATATTTAAAATGCACATTTATCGGTCCTGACAGCTGTCCATCTAACGACTCATTTTCATGAAGTAGAGTCTTGTCAGGATGATTAGCTGTTGTGCAGGATGCTGTCAATCACACGAGTGCGAAGGTCTCAGCTCCTGTTTTCTTGCCTGGTTCCCTGTGCTGCTCGCTGCCACGCAGTATTGATTCCACCTTATTTCTGCGGTGATGAATAGTGAAATTATAAAGACAGATTTAGGAGTTACTTGGATCCCATCCTATGAAAGTCCTTTAAAAGAACCTGCTGTATTTCTGAATGTATTTCATTTCAATAAAAATTATATTAATCACCAGATTGCAAAGTTTGTGTTTTGGGGGGTTTCGGAAACTTGGATAGGTTTTGACATTGCCTAATAACCCCCGTAAATAAAAAGACAACTTAGAAAACGAAATGTATAGAAACTAAAGGCAGTGTTTTATGAATCAAAATATTTAACTTGAGTGATATTACAATGTGTATTTTGATAACATGGTTTTAATACAAGAAGTGAGAAATTTCATTTTAATATATGTAAACTTCCCTTCAATCCATGTACCATCATTTATCTACCCAGTGGCTTTTTTCTAATATGAAAATTAGAGTGATAGTAAGATATCTAGGAAGGGAAACACACCTTCACATAGTGTTAGTAGCTACGGTAATTGGTTGCAAGGTTTCTAATTCAAATGTTTCCGTACAAGTGATTTGTCTATCAGAATTCTGAGATATGTACAATATCCATCCACGTTCTAATTTTGTTTCTGTTGTTTAAACTCACAATACCAAAATCCAATGTGTCTTTCTGTTGCCTCTGTCTTTCCATTTCATTCTAAATATTTCTCCAAAATCAGTCTACTATACTTTTCAGAGTCCTGCATTACACTATTCTTCTCTTGGGTGCCAGCTACTCCAAATCTAGACCAAACATTTAAAAATATATTAAAACCATGTGGCGGCAGGAGTTAATGTGCACGATCCAGCAAAGGTGGAGGCATTTCATAAGTACTTAAAGGAGATCTGTAACTAAATATGAATTTTGAGTTTAATTTGTTTAAAGATACCGTCTCAAAGGTATGACAAAAGTTGTTCAGTGGAACTCAACTCCTGGCTTTAATGGGTGTTTACATTTATTTTGCTATATTAAAAGTGATGTTAATGAGAAACTACTCCACCAGCCTTTCCAGAGTCTCCACTATGAGCCAGGCATACGGATGCTTTAGGAATAATAGTTAAGCCATGGTCAGTGACTCCAACAGCTCCATTGATTGGTGAGGTATTAGAAGATATGCATGCAGCTCACCACCCTACAATAAGGTGGAAATTGTTTATATGTATAATTCCAATATCCAAAGTATTAAAAGTGTAACAGATGATCACTATATATAAGTTTATACATCTTGGCTATTGCAAACATTGCTGCAGTGAACGTGGGAACAGATATATCTTCAAGATCCTGATTTTCATTATGTTGCATATATTCCCAAAGGTGGAATTAATGAATGATATACCACTTCTATTTTTAATTTTTGGAGAACCTCCATACTCTTTTCAATAACCACTATACCATTTTGCATTCCCAGTAACAATGTACAATGGTTCCAACTTCTCCCCTCCCTATCCTCATTAACACATTTTTTTAATATATAATAGTCATCCTAAAAGGTGTGAGGTGTTATCTCATTGTAGTTTTTGATTTACGTTTTCCTGATAATTACTCGTGTTGAGTGTCTTTTAATATACCTGTTGGCCATTTGTATATTTTACTTGTAGAAATGTCTAAGTCTTTTGCACATTTTTGTAATGAAGTTATTTGTGTTGTTTTGTTTGCTTGTTTTACTGTTGAGTTGTAGGAATTTTTTATATGTTTTGGAAATTAACCCCTCATCAGGGATATGATTTGCATATATTTTCCTCCATTTCATAGGTTGATTTTTCATTCTGTTGACTGCTTCCTCTGCTGGGCAGAAACTTTACAGTTCGATGTAATCCCACCTGTCTATTGCTTTTGTTACCTATGCTTTTGGT